GGAAACATCCTGTTAAAGGTAACGAGGCACTTAGCATATTTCTTGAAAAATTTGCTAAGAAAATATCTTTGCACATTTCTGCTTTTGATAACTTATACCTACAAAAGTACATAACGATCCAAAAAGTGGTGAATTTTACCAGTCAGGCATCAAGGGGTGAAATATGGGAGCATAAATATAGCATTAGGTACCTAAGATGACATTTGAATCAGTGAGTTCGAAAATACACCAACTCGGAAAAAAAAAATTTTCAGGAAACACCTTAAACTTCGCAGCGGGCGAAGAAGTTATAGTTTAAGAAAAACTTTTTTGGTGCCAAAGGACGCAAGAAGTACTCTAGAGACTTTAACGCACCAAGTTTCAGATACTGATTTTTCATAGTCTGCCCTGAAAAATTTATATTTTTTGACCTGAATAACGCTTGAATATTTATATAACTTGTTGGCACAAGGTATACTGAACCGAAAAAAGAAAACCGCATCGGATAGTCGCCCGTTTCCCTTGATCGGCCAAAAATTGGTATTTCCAATGAAATTCTTCGATTCTTCCCTTTTCCCGTCGCCGTTTCGAGCACTTCCGATTGCAATTTCGAAATATCCTTTTGCGTGCAGATGCTTCTACTTATCCATAAGTGTTACTAAACCGTAAAAAAGTGAAAATCGAAAAAAACCCGTGTTGGAGTGTTTCCGAATCCGAACTCACTGATTCATTTTACATTATTGGAAACATGATTATGTGGATGGATAAGGTGGGGAGACGGCACTACGGCAGACGGTAGGATGGGTTAGAGTAGGTATTGGTTAGAGAGTGCTCGAACTGCTCTGAGTTCCCGTCGCGCCACGCAGCCATCTTGCCTGCTCATTCCGAGGGGATCTTTGCCTGCAAAAAGTAAACATCCTACCGTACATACTCTGTAATCAAGTAATCAAGAATGAAAAGTTTTGACGTGTATGAATTTTGATGCCATTTGCCGTCTGCGGGTTTGTGAGCGGTTGAGCTTTGTACATAGTATTGGTATTTCGGTATTCTTTGCCATCAAGTCACCTCTAAACTTAATCGTATTTTTGGCCTCTTACTCTCAAAATGGGAGGCTCTCAAAGTGCGGAGATTCCCGGAGGTGGAACTGAAGGCTATCACGTACTGAAAGTAAGCCCCTTCTTCTCATAGTAGACTGAGGATTCAAATTTTAATGTCTGTTTGCCTTTCCTCAGCTCTGCACAATTTACATTCGAACTTTATGACTTTTTCAGAATTCTAATAAACTCTTTTACATTTCGACTCTTTGACTCTGTTCAACTTTCCATCCAACTTTTTCGTTCAATGTTGTTGGATGAAAAGTTTGAAAGTGGAAATTGGGCTTGAGTTTGTGCTGATTAAGTTTCCCCATGTCTAGAATCAAGATTGTGAATCTATTGTGGGATTCAAAAAGTGTAAACATATTTGGCAAGAATTCTATTGGGCTGAAAGCTACCTTGAATGTAACTTTGAGTGTTGGTGCCAATTTCTTACTGGGCGTACCTTTCTGTTAAATGGGATGGAATTTGAATGACCATTAGGTAAGCCGAGAATGTGCTCCTTTATTGCACCGTTACATATACTCTGTTAATGTTAAATTCTCTTAAGATAAAACTGACCAAAATGTTTAGTTGAAATGTTTGTGACCCACAGTGCACCAAAAATTGGTGCTGTCGGAATTGGTCAGATTACAGGGGCCAGAACTTGCGTTCCTTACCTTGATGAATGTAGGATGAATGCTGTCTGACCTATATGTATGTGTGAGCTAATAAACTGTTGTTGTGCACTACTTCATGTAAGTGCGATACCTTTACAATAATTTGTCCAGTTTTTTGATTTAGGGTTGTCGATTCTTAACCGATACTGCGAAAGTATCGATACATTTGATTGATACTTGGTAACGATACTCAACAATAACGATACCATTTGGTTTCAATCCTCAGACCTCAATATCCATGATATCGATACTTAATCTCATTTGGCTGTGAGGAAGGCTTTTTTCTTTTTTAACAACTTCTCTCTTCTGTTTCACCTTCACTGTGCACTGTGACAAATGACAGAGTAATCAGGTTTCTCAAGATGATCGTTTTTGATAAAAATGTAAAAAGCTCGGTTCGATAACGGTAGGAAAGGGCTTACAATAGTTGACTAAGGACGCCAAAAAGGGCGGTTTCGAGAGAAGCGTAAATCTGATGGAGGTTAATGGCCGACAGACGTACGCACATTCCGAATTACAGCATAATTTAGAGATAGTATCGATACCTCAAAAGTATCAATACCTCAGCTCAATGCTCGATATTGGCATCGATGCCTAAAGTTGATACCAGTATCGATACTTCCCCGAGTATCAACATCCCTATTTTGATTTTGGTCAAACTGGTTTTCACTATACGTATCCGACGGAGCAGTGGATCAGATGTATTATGTTGCCATGAAAGCCCCATGTCATAGTTAATCATGTTTTAATCTTCTGTAGGTTCAAGATCGGTCTCCTGGAGAAGCTGCTGGCTTGGAGGCTTTCTTTGACTTCATTGTTGCTGTTGGAACACAAAGACTGGTGAGTTTTACAACAGTAAGGGGGCCCTATCACAAGTGTAGATTCCACAAGTCTGTGGCTGTCCAGTACCCCATTGCTCTAGGGTGCTTCTGGACTGTCTGATTGAGATTCCTTGCGGTCGATCACCTTCTGATGTACATATCTTTTTCCAGGTCCTCTCTATCAATTCAGCAACATCATCTTATTGAAGAGGGAGGGGGCCGTGTCCCCCAAGTCCAGGGGTTCATATTTTGGAGAGATGGGCCAATTTTGGACTTTTTTATACCTTTTTTCTTTAAAATTGTCTGTATTCTTTTTATTTTGTTCAAAGAATTTCAAAATTGCGACTGGAACTTAGATTTTGTAAGTCAGGACCCCATATGTTATCCCAGGGGTGCTAGAGGGGGGGGGGTGAAATTCTGATTTCTTGGGATAGATTACCTGTTTGACCCCATGGTCCCTGACTTCGCCTCGACTTTAAATCATCAGAAGAAGAGCCTAGAAAATATGGGTGGTCTGGGACTCCCTGTCTGTTTAAAAGAAATAGACGAAACCCAGCAAATATTTCTAAATAATATCTACACAGATACAAAACACCCGTAATAAACTCCCGTTTCACATATAATCAGCGTTTATCAATTCAGACTGCAGACTGAAATTCAGACTGAAAAAAAACTGTTCGAGGTTCCTGACCTTGAAAGTTTCACTTTTACGTGAAACATTTTTGCAAGACCTCCTTTCTCCAACAGTTGCACAAAATACCCTCAACAGTTGCGCCGTGTAGACAAGGCCTAATACTCTAATACTAATAAAGATGTGTCGATTGGAGATGAAGAGAAAGTCATGCCAATGATGAAAGATAGCGGAAAATAATGAAGCTGGACTCTATGCGGGGTGATTAGATAGAAAGTGGATGAAAGTATAGGCCGGTCACGTAACGTCTGAAGGGAATGATTAGAAAATGTGATTTATGAAATGAAAGAGATAGGAACAGTTATGAAAAGAGGCACGGCAAGATGCGTAACTATAAGGGTAGGAAAGAACACAACAATTGCAGGGGTGCAGGAAGTTCTTGCATTCACATTTTTGGAGGCAGCTTTCGCATTTTTTGAGGTTGCCTTCTCATTGTTGTCCATGTAAGACCTGGGCGTTGCACTGTTTCCTTTAATTGAGAGAGCATGCTTCATTATTTCATTGGCATGAAAGAGTGTGCTTAACAATTTCCTTTGTTTCTGTGTTACACACTTTCCTTTACATAAAGCTATGCACTTGGCAGGGTTTTGCCCTCTTTCTTCGCATTTTTTTACCCCTCTTTAGGTGCCTTCATTTTTGCTCCGCGATCGACAGATCAAGCACTTTCTGCACCCCTGATCATTGAACCATATGACAACCATTTAAAATCTTCAAGCAATGCAACTAAAATCATACCCTCAAAGCGCAGTATCAGCTTCAGTTGAAGAAGAAAAAATAAGTTTACCCACAGTAATTCGGCCTTGTTTATCCAAAAGAGCTTCACTACTAAAGTGTTGTAGCGAGCATTTTGGAAATAAGAACGCAGAGGATTAGGCCATAGACACGAGCTGTATTAAGTGAAGTACATTCGCAATCGGAGGATCTTGCAAAAGATAAGGGAGAGGTTAGCACCAACCGTGCACTCGAATAGGTACTACCAACATAACACCAATAGAACAGGGACAGATTGTCTATATCCAACAAAAATCATTAAAAAAAAAAAAAAATACGTAAATTGCCTCGTAATCATTCATATAGATCTCCCAACAGTGTTTGAGGTACATTGTCTGATTTTTCAATTTAAATCCGAAAATTGTTTCACAGCTATTTAGTAGGCAAGGTAAGTAATTGGTTAGATTCATTTACAAGAATGAAGGGAGCACAAAAGAAACACTTGAGCCAAATACCTGTTCAACCTGCACTGAACTCTTCCCTCTCTACCGACAATAAGTTAAAGCCATAGAGAGAAGCACCACGGCTACTGTAATGTAAAGACTTGTTGAATTCGAAGTCTCAAAAGCCTGTCCAGCAGTCTTGCAAGCGATGTTTACTTGCTATCCTCTAAAAGTTAAATTATCGTAGACAGAACCAAAAGGTGCTCTTTTGATAATATGGAGATAAAACCATGTAAGTGAGTACTCTAAGAAGAAACTTACAAGTATACTGAGAAACAACAAGGGCTCTCAACCCCTGAGAAAGGTAGCGCTCATCCTGGTAGGTTTGTAATCCTTTTATATGCATATCTAGGTTGTCGAAGCACTTCGCTGCAGTGGAGGATATCAGCAAATCTTTACATTATTTGATTCTACGTCTAAAATTAGTTTTCTCACTTTTATCATTCTCCAAGCGCTCTTAAAATGGAGGGAATCAACATAAAGAAGAGCCTACATAGTCAAGTTGCGGGGGAAAAATTGGGATACATAGTTTTATTGTTTTAAGTTGTTCTTTGGGGTGTAAAGAACGCTCACAAAAAAGTTCCCTTGAATCAGAGTTGCACTGAACCCAGGGGAGGGGGGAAGGGTCAAATTGGGGAATTTTCGGGTTTTTCTTGACTTGAGTGCTTTATTTGTTGACTTGTATGCCGAAAAAGATTGTATTCAATTTGAACTGTTGTGAAATACCCTATGAGTGTAAAAAGACCTCGGACCTCCTCGCCCCCCTCCCTTCCAAATTACACATGTTCCCATCTGTAGCAGTATTAGTATTGGTTTCAATGCAGCAATGCTCATTTTTACTTAAAAAATCTTAAAACTTCGAAGAAAAAAAGCTCCAAATACTCTTAGCCTTACTTGCATTACCACTTCACCATACCGCCCCGTTTCCCTCCATTAAGTCATTGTTCGGCACTTCATGGCTTAAATGGATAAAAAAATTATGTACACTCAATGTAACATGTCCGAGTAGAATTATTTAAAAAAATGCCTAAGCCCCATGCAGCCCCTCGCCCCTTTCGCCCCCTCCCACAAAAAATTATTTTCTACTCGTCCGATTTTACTCGTGGTAAGATGACCCCCGTTTTCATGCATCGTCTTCGCCTCTTCTAGTTCTCGGGGAAAGCTGATGTCCATCGGAAAATAGACTTTGCGCTTTTGGAGTTTTCGCAGAAATGATCCTGTTCAGAGTGCACAAACAAATTTATTGGTCTCATCAGTGTACCAATTTCGATGGATCTTGAGCTGCTAGAACCGACTATGACCAGACCGTTTTTTTAATAACATTTTAATTTTCCAGAAAAGCCGATTTTCCCGGCTAAAAGGGGCGACTATAAGCCAATTTCGGTGCAGTTTTAAAAGAACTGAAAATGATGGTGGTTTGTACAGGTAGTTTTATGTGTATTTTGAGCCTTTAAATCTGAATCAAATGGTTGGTTCACCATGACCCTCAAGTTTATCTTCTAGCTAAAAACTTCTCCCAACTGCTCCAAGTCCCCATAAGTAATAATTATAATTACTTTATTATTAATTTATTATACTTTAAATAATTCTACTCGAACATTTTACATTGGGTGTACATAATTTTTTTCCTCCATTGAAGCCGTTAAGTGCTGAAAAATGACTTAATGGAGGGAAACGGAGGGTAGTCGGGGAGGTGGTGAGGGTATTTGGGGATGGTGAAGTGGTAATGCAAATAAGGCTAAGAGTATTTGGAGCTTTTTTTCTTCCAAGTTTTAAGATTTTTTAAGTAAAAATGAGCATTGCTGCATTGAAACCAATACTAATACTGCTACAGATGGGAACATGTGTAATTTGGAAGGGAGGGGGGCGAGGAGGTCCGAGGTCTTTTTACACCCATAATTGGGTATTTCACAATAGTTCAAATTGAATACAATCTTTTTCGGCATACAAGTCAACAAATAAAGCACTCAAGTCAAGAAAAACCCGAAAATTCCCCAATTTGACCCTTCCCCCCTCCCCTGGGTTCAGCGCAACTCTGATTCAAGGGAACTTTTTTGTGAGCGTTCTTTACACCCCAATGAACAACTTGAGACAATCAAACTGTGTATCCCTAGTATTCCGCCATTTGTAGGATTTTGATCAGCCACATCTGGACTAACCGATCAGTAGAAGTAGGATTTGATCAATGAAGTACTTACTTTGGCCAGAGTAAAGATCTGTGTGGAAAAATGAAGCTCGGATGGACCCTTGAAGCTGTACGTTTTGGAACTTCATGGAAACACCTCTGTAGGTTTCTTTATTTTCTCTGATTTCTTCAAATTTGTTTTTCATTATTACTGTTTTCTTTTTGGCTGAATAGGATCAAGACAATGATACATTGAAGGAAATTCTGAAAAGTAATATTGATAAAGAATTGAAGATGGTAGTGTATAGCAGCAAGACACAGTCTATTCGGCAAGTGGACATCACACCTAGTGCCTCATGGGGCGGGCAAGGCCTTTTAGGTGTCAGCATTCGGTTCTGCTCGTTTGAAGGAGCCAATGAAAACGTTTGGCATGTTCTCGTAAGTTGAATGAAACACGTAATGTGGTACAAGCAAAGTGGGACTTATTGTGATAAAAAAAATTTCCACCGATAGATTTCCAAATTTTTACACTCATCGCTCTTTCACTACCGAAATGCTTTTAAGTTTAATATTTATCAAAGAAAATAGGGTCATAATTTACAAAGTATCCCTTACATTTAAGCAATTACCTTTTGCTGGATGTGGACATAGTTTATTACTGATACTCATTACTTCCTTTATAATGTGAAGTATAAATTCGACTTAGTGTTGTTGCCATTATTAGCACATGATAATTTATCAAAAGTGGATAGGTCATTCCATATAGAACCTACCAGCCATGAAACCGCCCAACTCGGATTTAGCTGTTACATTTTTTTCTTGATCAGACCACCAAATAATGAGCCTCTGCAAAATATCAGGTCTCAAATCGAACAACTCACTGAGATATGAATTTTTGATGTAAACATAAAAAATTACTGAAAACTTTAAGGATTTTCAAGAAACGAACATTTCGATCTTCCAAAAAAGAGAGGGCCATTTTCTCCAAAAAAATTTACTCCGGGCCCATTTTTCGTCGGATTGAAGTGAAACTTTGACAGGATGTTAATGAAAGTATGTAAAATTAAGAAAAGAATGCATAAAATGTTCGACTTCACTCATTGATATGCTGCGGTTGAATGTTTGTTACGATTTTGTCTGATATTAGCGACAAAACCTTTCCCTCTTTAAATGCCCATAACTTTTGAGCTGCAAGTTATTTTTTGCTCCAATTTTATTTTTTAAATGTTCCTAAGAGTATCAGGAAGACGCCTGAAGAACAATTTTGATGGCGTTTTGGGTTATAGTATCTTTTTCTTTTGTCCGAAAAAGGCCTGAAAACCTGAAAATAACACCAAAATTATTCCGATAATCTACCATTACCCTGAAAAATCAACTTAAAAATCGCTCAATTTTTGCCTGAACGGTCCTTGCTGTAGGGACAATATGTTTGAAAAATTAAATCAATGGTATTTTGGGATTAAATTCTAGGTGGCGGTAGCCACCCCGGCCCAATCCTAAAAAACTCCCCCTAAAAGTTGACGACCAAGAAAACAAAAAAAAAAGGACGGGTGGCTGCTGCTTGACTAGTTATACACTACTAGTTATACGAAGAAACTCGATCGGGCTTTTCTGCACGGCTTGCGGTCCATTTAGCTCTCCTGCTAATTAAGCCGTAGAGTAAATCCCAAAAACCCTATAATATTTGGGTTAAAGATGCTTAGCTCTACTCATAATGCCCACCCTTTTTGAGTTTAGTTGAATATTAAAAAAGTTTTTAAGCTTTAACGACAACTTTTGGACCCCAAAACATGACGATGATGGAATTGATCAATCGCTGAGCAGATTCGGGGCAGATTCAAAGCCCGCGGAACGCTCGGCCGCGGAAGGCGGGCGTGTTCATATAGACAAACCTACAGCTATAACCGTAGAAAGAAATCCTATAAAACCATAGATATTTTGAAAATACTTTTAATGATCCCGAGACATATCGCTGCAACTTTGAAATAAATGAGACACAAGGGAGAAATAACGGTAAATAGTTCATTTTCTAGTATTTCCAAGAGGCGACCTGGAGGCACGGCTGTGGAAGTAATGGTAGCATAAACCCACTAAACTAGGTAAAATTTAAATCTGTAGACTCCGGAGATGGAACTTTTGGTACTTTCCCAGACTTACATAGGCGTCAAAAGGAGAAATAATCGAAAGAAGGAGCGGGTCCTTCAATTCTTCAAAACGAATTTGAATTTGAAAACAACTTGTAGAACCGCGCGATGGATGGTTAGCGCCGACTCCAGAAGTTAAATTTCAGGTTATGCTACTGTTATTATGGCTTTAAATATTTAAATAATAAGAATAAGATAGATTAATTGATGCGTGTTTTCATTTTATCATAGCCGAAGATAACTGGATCCATTTCTACATATATAATCCTTTTATGATTCCCGCACCCTTAATATAAGTTGTTACAGTAAGTACCTACTCAGATCGCAACCTGTTATTTCTTCCCAGCGGCCCGGATCTAGTGAGCTTTACAAGTAATTGTTTATGAATAATTGATGATATCCCACTATAGTGAGTCCTAGATACTATATCTCGTTAATCAGATTCAACAACTAACCACCAGAAAATCATCCTTTCCCTCAATACGATGATGTCTGTCGGGGTCTCAATTTGTGGGGATGAAGTTGCGTTTCCACTTTCTCCTAAAATTTTGCTAGCAGCCGAACTCCTCTGGAGTTGTGTCTCTTCTCAGTGTATCATGCCACTGGTGCATAAAGCCTCAATGTTTCCATAGACTTGTAATGCTTTATATTGGAAAACTGGCTTATACATTCACCCGTCAGTCGTGCGTAAGTGTCTACTTAAAGAAGCTCAGGGTTGCAATTTTTCATGAAAAATAAAATCTTGAAATTTCATGTGAAATATTTCACGGAATTGCAGAAACACATGAAAAATATTGACTGATAGGTGCTTTTCAAAATTGAATGCAAAATTAAAGGAAAGGCGACTAGTTGTCGCTTTTTGGTGCTTTATAGTGCGTGTGATATACCTAGCCTCTGAAAATACGTTTAATACATTTTATATTTTTCACAACTTTGTGAAATTCCGAGAAATATTTCGGGGGAATTTTGAATATTTCACATTTTTCACTTCACCCGTGCAACCCTGGCTATGCGTCACTCCGTTATTGCCCTTTGTTGTATGAGTATAATGAAACCAACTCAATGCCACAAAATCAAAGATACTTGACTTCAAACATTACTGTTAATTTGATTATTAGCAAGTCTCTTTGATTCTGTGTCAGAAGTTGATTGAATCGTCTAATTTGCCTATATTTGGATAAAATTCCTCAAATCAAGGCCTTTCATATTGACCTCTGCAAAAGGTATGTACCTATACTACTATATTGGTTTGATAAAATTGAGATGCTAACTAATGCAGGCTATCCTTGATGTGACCTCTCTACCCATTGGCTAAAATTTGCAGTACCTGGAGACGCCAACTTGCTGTCACTACTTACCACATACCCAAAGGAGATAATACAGAGCGGCTGTTCAATATATAACATCAGCGACTCCTGACCTCTAAATTATCTGAGTCCTCGCCTGACAAATTCACCCACTATGAGAGTGCGACAGAAAATTAGCTGTTTCATTTCATCACGGAGAATGGATATAAGAATTAATTCTCTGGCACACCCTGAGATGGTGTAATACTCACTCGATAGGAACTTTAGATGACCAGAGCTGGCAGGTTATTGAAAACTATTAATTGAGACTCAGACAGCAAAAAATTTTAGTTGTGGCGACTAAAATTTTTGGCTGCTACAACCTCAACATCTACTGACTATCCCCTTTGATGAAGCGTAAACTGCTCACATTTCTCAAGATGAGGAATGCCAGAGCTTGAAAGGCATCTCTCATAAAACAGAAAGTATTGATACCTACATACTTTGCCTACCAGTCTTGATGAGGCAGTGTACTGCATCCTCCATGTTCTTACTGCTGATTAAATTGTAGGTCAGAGAGGCTGGCTACTCGTAGTATAGATGATGGAACACATTATTGACTTACCTACACTGAGCTGCAGAATTTAGTTTGCATTCTATCATCAGCTTGATAGAATTAAAAGAAAGGTGTCCATGTAGGATATAAAATTCAGCCCTCTGTATAGGAGATGTCTCTACTGTAAAACGCTGTAAACTCATGTTTACAGCATAGGTGGGTGAATTCAAATAAGGGTCAAATTCCAGGTTCAATTTCCTCCCAAAATTTTTTTGTGAATTTTTGGGCGAACCAAACTTTATTTTGACTCTCATTAGGTATAGACTTAGGAAATATAGCTCGTCGAGCTAAATAGTTATACTTAAACCCGAATTTCCACCGTCACGTGTATCACTTCCCAAAATTTGCTCTAATTTTGCCTGATTTCCCAAATTTTCATCTTAGAGGTGACATATAATACTTTTAATTGAAAATTGAACGCAATTGTCATAAAAGCATCGTCGAGCACTAAATTAAAGCATAATTGAAAACATGTAACCCTTTCATATCTTACAAAACCAAAAAAATTCATCCATCATGAAAGATATCTGGAGCTTATTCTGCTTATGCTTTTAGACAGTTCCGTCTGTTTATCAAAATGCCTACTATTTTCCTTTAACACGAGAAGAAGCTTTTAATTCTTGGAATATTGCAGTACAAAATTGATCAAAAACATCGAATTTTAAAACTTCAAGTGGGCGTGTACCCGCTGAAGTGGAGGTAAAGTCAGGAAAAGTTTGAGGAGTTGCATTAACATATCAATTACGCTGGTCAACTTTTTTTTTTTTTTTTTTTTTTTTTTTTTTTTTGATTTGATTTGATTTTCCGAAGATTTGCCAACGGTTTCGGAGTAGATTTTTGGCACTGATTCCGAAGATCACCTCCATTTACCTGTATCAGTGCGACTTATCCCGGGAAAGTTCGGAATTATTCCAGAGAAATCGGAATTTTCAATAAAAATCTAGCTTTTCCAGCAGAGTCAATCTTCCGGGAGAATCTGTGCACGATGGAAAAAACCTAGGAATTTTTCGATTTCGTAGCCTAAGATACATAAGAAACCATGTATTGCACCCCTATTAAAATTTCCTTTCTTTTCCTAATGCCAAGGTTTTCCGGTCCAGTTTCATTAAAATCAATTAATTAGTTACCGAGATAGTGTTTTAAGCCACGGTCACCACCTTAGATTTTCGAATCTTGGAAATTTGACTAAAATTCGAGTTCCTCATTCAAAAATACCCGCGGGTACCAAGTTTCGCGTAAATCGATTGATTAGGCGCTGTGATAGCATTATAGGCCATGTCCGCCATCTTGGATTTTCGAATTTTGAAAATTCGACTAAAAATTCAAGTTTCCCATTGAAAAATACCGCCGGATACCAAGTTTCACTTTAATCGACTGATTAGGTGCTGAGAT